AAAGAGGAAGCACTGAAGAGAAGGAAAGGCGGGAATAGAAACAGGAGCTCGACCGTAAAAGAGGAAGTAACCGAGGGCCGTTTTGTATGCAGCCTGCTCGACGATGGGAAAAGGGATGCTTATGAAGAGGGGGAATGCAAAGAGACGACAGATACGCAGAGGATTCACCTTTTATTAATCCTGAAGGGGAACGGAGGTAAAGATGGACATGAGAGGTCCGCCGCAGATGGCACATCAAGGGAGCGGACGGGGAGGGGGTGCGGCGAGGGGAGACAGCGGGGTGCGGAGGGGGCGGCGACGCCCTTTCGGATGCAGTGCGGCATCGAGCGCGCGAGGGAAGGGTGGAAAGGGGGGAGGACGAGGGTGAGATACGGTGTGGCGGCGCGTGGCTCGCAGTGAGGCGAAAGGAGCAAGGCGGTGAGTAGTGGTCGGGCGGGTTGCTCCGCGTTTGCACTGCGGACGAAGACTGATGCGGCAAGGTTTGCAAGGACGAGGCGCCGAGCAAAGGTTGCACAACATTGTACATGGTACAGTACAGTGCTGTTATGACCACTCTTTGGGCACAATTGTTCCCCGCCGTTCCCCTCCTCCTTCGTGCCCCTCCTCCTTCGTGCCAAGCAGCGGCCTGCCAAGTCTCTGCCATCCGACAACGTCCTTCCCTCTCCCTTTACGGAACGTCGGCTTCGGCACTCAGGGACAGGACTACTCCCCAATCTAATGAAGAACAGCTTCTCTGCAAGGGGGCATCGGTAAATATGTGAGAAATCACCACTGGGCAAAAGGGAAAGTGTCCTGGCCGGCACAGGTAAAACAAGCGGCCCCCAGTGACAGACCCATGACGATAGACTGTCCGATCTCAGGCAGCAGCGAGACGGATAAGTTTAGGGCCGGGAGTAGAGACTACCACGTAAAGAGGCTCTATGAGTTATTAGTCGATTCAACAATGGCCGAAGCAACTCTGCTGGAACACGTGTTACACGTTTCTGCAGAAAACTATCCTCGCTGTATCCTCGTTGTTACTGTAATTCACAAAAGGGTGCAAGTCATACTCCTTCCACGCCCTCCTTCCCGCCAAATTTACGGCTTTCATTGCAATACTGTTGAGGAATGACTTAGAAACACGTGGAGACGTGGACAACGGGTCCATGAACCGGAACTGAAGGACACGCGTGCTCCTGTAGGGAAGCGAAAGCGCGGGGGATCCAGTTCCCGAAGGGAAACGAAGACGGCACCGGATGGCAGGAGTCGGGGCGAGGGGAGCGCGGGGCTGTCGGTAAGGGAAGCGAAAGGAAAGGCAGCGAGGGAGTAGTCATTTTTGTGGGGCAAGAGAGGGAGAGAGACGACGAAGGGAGTAGGCAAGGGGGGGTCAGAGACAGCCGAGCCCCCTCGGGGAAGTAGTACGTAATAGCCAACCCTCGGAGATAGACAAGAGGGGGGGCAGACGCAGCAATAAAGGAAATTGAGGGAGGATTCCCATTCAACAGGTTGCTCGGTGCCAGACGGTTGAGATAATCGCAACAATACTGTAATACCGATGGACAAGCCCCCGGAGTCCGGCACTGTATCATATGCCTCTCTGCAATTCTGTGGAGCTCTCGTTGCTGGCGTACAAGTCTTGTTTGTGCGTCGCGAGAGCAGCCTTACTAAAAGTGGGCGACTCCGAAAAACACAAACACAATCTCAAGATGTGCCAACACCGCAGCAACAATCCGCACAACCCCCCCTCTCCTTTGACGAATGTAGGAAATCGCTCCAAAATTGTGCGTCGCGAGAGCAGCCTTACTAAAAGTGGGCGACTCCGGAAAACACAAACACAATCTCAAGATGTGCCAACACCGCAGCAACAATCCGCACAACCGCCCCTCTCCTTTGACGAATGTAGGAAATCGCTCCAAAATTCATTTTCAAGCAGGCACTTTCCCTAAAATAGCTGTAGCCCACTGAATGTAGTGCATTTATTCGCAACGCCAAGAGTGGAAGCAAACCTTTCCCGCGCCCTCTGCGAGACAACCAAGAACGAAAAACATCGCCTACCAACGACTGACAACGACAAGAGAACGAGAGATTCGGAGAGTAGTAGATATAGACAAGAGCAAGCGCTGCTTTGCCACCGCCGCCTATTCAAATCCGAACAACATCCCCTAATCCCAAACACCATGGCTGATCCGTACAGTATCTTGGGCCTCACCGGCCCGGCCGAACAAGTCGTTCGCCTCATCGCAAGTCTCATCGAACGACACAAAGCCTACAAGGAAAACAAAACGCTCTCTACGGAAATGCTCACCGCGTACACCACCTTGCACGCAGACATCACGGAGCTGAAAAACATGCCGATCCATGGAACGTCATCGCACACGGGCTTGCTCCAACGTGAAATCGAGGACATCTCAAGCTTCATATTGAAGTCCCTCGCCGAGCTGCAGAAAGAGTTGGACGACCCAAAAGCGAGACTCGGTGCGTACGCCTCTGCAGTGGGAGATAGAGAAGTCTTAGAGAAGCGCAAGCGAGAAGCGGACCGCCTTCACCATCGTATTCTACAAGCGAGCACGGGTATCGATACTCGCGCGACTCGTGCGGCCGTGGAGTCGATCAGGCGAGGCACGGGTGATATGTTCAGGCCGTCGATAAGAGCCGAACGTAATCCTGCGTCGATATGTGTGAAGCTTGATTCTCAGGGGAGCGATGGATTACCAAATACGTGTGAGTCGCGTCTGAAAGCGGCTGTACTACAGAGAGATAGGAACGAGCATGTGGGTGCGACAGCAGTGGGACAGGGCGGAGTCGGGAAGACATGCGCCCTACGAGCGATTGCGCATGACGATAAGATTAAGGCGGAGTTTTCGGGAGGAGTGTACTTCATGTCGCTGGGAAAAGACGGAAACGTGGGACGGCTGATTGAAGAACTGTGTCTGATTGTGGAAGCGTCCGGTGGCAAGCAGACGGCTGGAGAAATGCGAGAGCAGAGCGAGTTTGAAAGGATTTTAGCGAAGGTACAAGCGTGGTTTTGTAGTTATGTGTGTCTGTTCATCATTGATGATGTGTGGGTGGTGAATGATATAGACGCGAATATCCTTCAAAAGTTGTCTGTTCTGACTGACACTGCGGGGGGCAGCGGGGGAAGGAGGAGCAGACTACTGTACTCGACGAGGGATAGGGAGCTGCGTCAGATTGGAGAGCGGGTTGCTTTCGAGCCGAGGGAGAAGGTAGGGAAAGAAGCAGTTGACATGCTTGTGCACGCGAGTGAGGCGAATCGAGAGGAATTGGATGATGCGAGTTGCAAAGAGGCCGTGGGTGAAATACTGGAAATATGTTGCGGATTGCCGCTTACCCTGAACGTGGCGGGAACGAGTGTGAGGTACATGAGGGAAAGATGGGAAGGAGAAGTGTCAGGAGCATGGGGGGCGTACGTTTCGAAGATGAAGAGGCGTAACACGATTCGTGGGGAGAGTCCGAAGGACGGATATTCGTCGTTGAATACGACATTGCATACGTCACTAGATATCCTGGAGTCCAATGCGGGGAGCAGTTGGGAGACGGTTGGTGAATTTTCGTTTCGAAAGATGCACCGGAGTCTGTGCGTTATGAAGAAGCAAGACCGGATACCTTTGAGTTTGGTTGGAGATTTGTGGGAGATGGACGAGGAGCGGACGGAATGGTGTGCAAAGGAGATGGAAAGGGTTGGATTAGTAGAGTTGCAGTATGAGAAGGGCTGTGGTGGGTTGCGGGTGCATGATCTGACGCACGATTTCGCGGTAGAAGAAGCGAATAAGAAGGAAGGTGTAGAAAAGTGGTGTAAGAAGATGGCGGATGTATGCAGGGCAGGAGGAGGGTTGTTTGCAATGAGTGAGGGCCGAGACGGAGAGGGCAAGAGTGCACGGGAGGAGTATGTTTTCGAGAACATATACCGTGTTCTGAGACAGGGTGGGTGTGTAGAGGAGCTGAAGAGGCTCTTTTTGAGTGCACGATGGGTGAAGACAGTGATACGGAGAGGCGGGGTTTGGCAATACGAGGAAGCTGTGAAGGGATTGAGTAGAGACTTGAAGCGGAAAAGAGGAAGCGGGGGTGTGACTAGGGGACGGGTCGATGAGGATGCAGTGGATACAATGGTTCTGATGACGCGGGCAGCGCGACTGAGTGTACCATTTTGTGGTGAAAGTAATGCCGGGATTTACTTTCAACTATATGGGCGAGTGATGCACAAGGCACGGGATTCAGGTTGTGTGCGAAAGATGCTGGAGGAAATTGAGAGATACGCACCACGGCCGTGGGTGCGGCCTGTGAGCGAGTTTTTAGCGCGAGCCGATGGAAGGATGGCGGAGCAGATTGTTTTGCCACATAACGGTTTTGGACGAATTCAAGTCGGCATGGATTCCAGTGGTGAAGTGTATGGATGTCTAGTGGAGAAGTCCGGGGCAGAAGTAACAGTTTTCGCGCAATCTGCTGAGAAGGAGACGAAGATGGTTCGATTAGAAGGCGAGTTCGAAACGGAGAGCCAGAGCCCATTGGACCTTGAAGCAAGCAGGCCCAAAATGTGTCGGCGTTTGAGGGCATATTTTGGGATGTGCATGGGAAGTGTAAGGTTCATGGTGACTGGAGAAAAACCGGGCGTGACAACAGCTACCTGCGCAACTTTCTGTGAGAGGAAGGGGTATGTTGTTGTGGGATATGAAGACGGGACGTTAAGGCTGTGGAGTACGTCGGAGAGGAAAGTATTGAGAAGTTTCTGCGGCCACAAGTCGAAAGTGTATTGCGTTGCGATGAGTGGGGACGGTAGACGTGTGGTATCTGGATCGCGGGACAAGAGCGTGCGGGTGTGGGATGTGGAGACAGGAGCACAAGTGGGGGAGGCGTTAGTTGGACACAAGGATAAGGTGTTAAGCGTTGCGATGAGTGGCGACGGAAGACGTGTGATATCTGGATCGCGGGACAAGACGGTGCGTGTGTGGGACGCGGAGACGGGAGCACAGGTCGGGGATGCGTTAGTTGGACACACGCGTGCGGTGTGTAGCGTTGCGATGAGTGAGGACGGAACATGTGCGGTATCTGGATCGGAGGACATGAGCGTGCGGGTGTGGGACGTAGAGACGGGAGCACAAGTTGGGGAAGCATTAGTTGGACACACGAGTGTGGTGTCAAGCGTTGAGATAAGTGGGGACGGAAGATGTATTGTATCTGGATCGTGGGACAAGAGCGTGCGGGTGTGGGACGTGGAGACGGGAGTACAAGTCGGGGACGCGTTAGTTGGACACACGAGAGAGGTGGAGAGCGTTGCGATGAGTAGGGACGGAAAACGTGTGGTATCTGGATCGTTCGACAAGAGCGTGCGTGTGTGGGACGTGGAGATGGGAGCACAAGTTGGGGAGGCGTTAGTTGGACACACGGGTTATGTGTTAAGCGTTGCGATTAGTGGGGACGGAAGACGTGTGGTATCTGGATCGGTTGACAAGAGCGTGCGGGTGTGGGACGTGGAGACGGGAGCACAGGTCGGGGATGCGTTAGTTGGACACACGGGTGCGGTGCGCAGCGCTGCGATGAGTGGGGACGGAAAACGTGTGGTATCTGGATCGTTTGACAAGAGCGTGCGTGTGTGGGACGTGGAGACGGGAACACAAGTCGGGGAGGCGATGTTTAGACACATGGGTCCGGTGGTTAGCGTTGCGATGAGTGGGGGATGGAAGACGTGTGGTATCT